CAAGGACCTGGTGCGACCCGTAAGCCCCCAAAAAAACCAGGACAAACCCGACACAAACTGTAGCACCCCCATGCTTTATTTTGCAGACCTTGTCCGCTCCAACGCGTTCGATGGCAGCCCGCATGCCATCAATGTCTGTCCCCAGGGCATCCGTACCTGTCACCAGGGAGCATGCCACCCGCACAAGAACAGCAATGTGCCAGCATACTTTGCCTTCAATGGGCTTCAACTCGACAACCACGGGTTCCAGGCCAGCCGCCCCGATGGCCTACACAAACAATTTTGAAAAGCATGCTGGCACAAGACGTCTGCAGCATAATAGGCCCATAGGCCTTGAAGCACGATTTCTGGTCTATCCTTCCAGGAGTTGACTGCCAGCGGTGCCAGCAAAGGTGCACGGATCGCGTCCTCGACCATACCACATATCGGCCCTGTGGCCTGAACAAGTCGGAGTGTAGAAATTCATCTCAGATCAACCGCACACTGCCTCATCTGACGAAGCGCCAGGAATACTAATGTCATGGTCAGACCTGCGCGCTACTGACGTGACATCATATCCCTAGCTGAATTTAACGGCCCGGCCTGTGGCAGCTGGAAGCACCGCGCACGCCTTGACTGCTTTGATCCTCAGCCCGACTGTTGCGGCTAGTGAATGGTGACCAAAGTGCTTGGCAGCATAGCTCGCCAAGGTTATTTCCCAGCGAGTCGGATTGCATCCAGCGCGAGGTACTTGGTCAACCTTGGGTTTGTCCAGACATTGAGGAGAGAGGGAAAGTGAGCCAGCTTTTGATGGAAGACTAAGACGCTAGGTAGACGGCTGGACGATAAGTGATGAGCCTGCGGCTTTGGGCTGCTCTGCCTTCAAGAACGCTGGACATGCTGCCCGCGCCCGGCATCCGAACTAGTATCACCAAGATCTTCAGTGACCAAGCCCAGCTCCATGACGTCGCCACTTCGACCAATACCTTTGAGGGATTAACGGTGCCAGCAGGAATCTTAGAAGCTCGTGCTGACTCGTGCCCATGTCGCTTGACTTGTTATCTGTTAGGCCAGCTACCATGCGTCAGACCAAAGTGTCTTCGCCGAACAAGATCGCTGATGATGCGTCCTCTGCTGTCTACACATCTGTGTGCGGGTTCCATGCCCTTCTGTTCAAGTTCTTGAGTCACGCCTTCCCTCTCGCCAACTCCGACGTTGCCCTGCATTGGACAAGAGATAGCAGTCTACCGACCCTGCCTTTTGCCTGGGTTCCTCCGCTCCAGTGCATGGGGGCAAGCTCAAGAAGGGGTGTGCTGAAAAGAAACAAAAGGGAGATGGCGCGGAAGGGCCGGTTTTTCACTTCACCTCGACGCTTTAAAAGCACACTGCGAGACCATGGGGACGGCCTGGCACCGTGACACGGAGGCCAGGCCCAATGCAACACCCGAGCCAACTCTCGCATCATATCGATAGTGACAAGGCAGGCTGCATGCAGAGATAGTGGACCCAGCAAAACGAGTTCCACAGCAGCCCGCGTCCGCATACAAAGGAGGACATACACCCGTGCATCAGCCGGAGCCCTGCGGCAAATCCAAGCCTATCGCATTCGCTTGTTGGGCCAAAGCAGTTCACGGATGTATTGGACAAGTTGTTAGGGTATCCGTAACAGTGTGTGCCTAGAAAAGCCTGGAGTGGACAAGGTCTCGCTGCATCATAGTGGGATGGTGCAGACCCAGGATCAGCGCATAGTTGCAGGTAGGTATCGGCTGATTTTGTGCGATTGTGCTTTCACGATACTGTTTGTGGGGACAGACAGACCAGGGAGAGAAGGGAAGGATAGAGGCCCGAGATGCGCGAGCATGAAAAGAGTCATGAGAATCTGAAGAGCTCACAGGCCTGAAAGTTGTTGGTGTCAAAGGACCTGAGCTGGCTCAAAGCAACGCCCCGCAGCAGTAACCTTACCAAGCCGCATCTGCCAAAGACGACCCAAACTGGTGTAGCTCACGCACCCTTCCCTGTGAATCAATGAGTGACGGAAAACCCTGCAAGAAGCAAGCAGTTCGCACCGTAGCCCCGCAGTGTGAAAGCCTGAATTCAAAGCCAGGAACAGTGACCGCTGGCCCTAAAACCATGTTTTCAGTAAAATGGATGCCCATGTCCAGTCCAGTCCCTATTAAACCTGTTCGAGCAAACTACTCGCAAAGGAAGCCAGGATATGATTTTCTATGAGCAATTGCACTATCCTCATGTGCAAAGACATATCTACCAAACATGCTGAGATCCTCACGCCATCTCTTCGAGCAACAACTGAATGTCATCCTGCAGCTGGAAGCTGCGGCTGGCTGTGGCTGTGGGCAAGTCTGGCAAGAGAGTGTCCTCTTTCCAGCCGACATCGGGGAGTCGTCGCTGCCTGGCACCAAGTGTTAGCATCTGATGTGGCCTGGCCGTGTTTCGAGAACATGCCGAGGCTTCGTCAGTAGGGTGGTGACCTGCTTGGAACGCGAGTTCCTGGCCTTCAGGTAGAGAGTGCAGGTTTCTCAAACGGCACGGCAGTGGTGCCATTTTTTGATGCCTGCTGCGCCTGCTCCACGTAATTAGTGTTCACAAGACCTCCGCCATCTTTTAGGGTTGCTTGTTTGGATGCTGCATCTGTAGGCTGCCAGGGCCTTTCAGCAAGTCGAAGTGCTGCGGCAGCATGGCAGCCACACATGAATCTTTTGATTCTTCCTCTCTCTCTTCCCCATGCTTCAAGGAATGTCAACCGCTGAGGGTAACGTGCGCTAGTCAATGGTGAAGATTGAGTCAATGTTATGAGAATGTGTCGCATGCTTGATTTCTTGCACTTGTGACAATACCACAGTAATCCCTGCCGCATGGTTTATGTTCTCTCTGGGCTGCAGGCCTGAGTTGGTGGGCTGGTCAAAGATGAGCCCTGGGTGCAAAAAGCAATCCACGGCCTTGATGTCTGATAAGGTGTGGGAAACTTCCCGCAAGCCCACTCTTCATTACAAGAAGCCCTTTAGGTTTGGACTGTTGTGAATACGAGCACACAAACAATAAGACACCCTTATCTGTAAGGCCATTTCTCTCACTTTCTTGCCCTCGTCCCTCTGCCACGGACCTTTTCTGGATTGAACCGAAGCAATCTCATGAAACGCTGCAGGCTGTAGTCTCCTTTGGAGAGGTGGCCCGTCAACAGCTGAGGTATAGTCGAAACTCCTAGTTTCCCTTATTAATAACCCCTATAATAAGACTCCCCTGTATAATCCCCTATATAACCCCCTTGAAGGAGTTTAGACTACAGTAAAGCTGGGGAAAGCGCCTTGCCCGCGAACTGGGCAGTCCTAATTGTCCCTCAAAGGCTGCGTGCGCATCATGGTTTGCCGCCAGACGGCCCGGCTGCACTGAATGTAGTAGTTGCTTGATACTGGATGCCCATGCCCGGATCATACATCACCTGGGCACAGCGTTACTGAGCCCTACCCATGGGCAGTTTGGCTTCTAAAAATGAATTACAGACACGGGCCTGACAGGAAACACACGTCCTATGGCTTGAAGGAATACTACGAGCACTAAGCAGTTAGTAAGACCAAAGGGATATGAAAGGCAAAGCGGCAAAGCAATCTGAATTTGAAGCCAAGCAAAATGATAATCAGGGTTAGGTAAGCGGCAGGGCTCTGCACGTAGGCAAATGGCTCCCCACCTGCAGAAGCTCATGAGGGCTTCTATTCCTTCTACATAAGGTGAACTGCTGGTACGAGCAGATGCTTTATGCAGGCTCTTCAAGAGACCGTCCACACACAAGGTGTAAGTGTGGCCCCAACACGCTAAAATGAGGGCTCTATGCGAATGCTTCTGCACATGGAGCTGGAAACATCAAAAGGCACAGATGAAACTCGGCGTTAAAAGCTTGCACATGATTCCCTATGCACACTTATTTTAACTTCGACCTCGGAAGCCAGGAATGATTTCGACGCACTTGGACATGTGCAACAACAGTGCTTGTGAAAAGTGGTGGTTCATTTGCATACGGGGTCAAGAGCCATGAATTTCTGCACAAGCCTGCACCGGCCCCGCTGGCATTGGGCCGGGCTCCAGGACCCTGGCCATCTCGAGGGAACAGACGGGCCTGTCACATGCAAATCTAAGCAATGCAAATCTAAGAAGGGCCAGGGCCGTCCTGCAGCAAGGTGATGTGCTTCACCTAAGCTTGTACACGGCTTCAGCAAATCCAATGCCATCCACGGCTTGAGAGGCGCCAGTTCGGTGTTTCGCATCTCCAACTCGATGATTCGACGATCCTGAAGCAAAGTCAGCCAAATGCGACCAATGTGCTGAGTCTGCTCTTCCAGCGAGCCTTGGATTCGCAGCGCTCGCAGTAGATGTCATAGCATTCGAAGCAGCCCATCTCTTGACAGACTTGCCTGGCCAACGGCAGCAACTTCTTTGACGCTCCACCACGACAAGTCTTGTCAGCTCAGCCGGCTCTGCTCTGTGCGAGGTATGAACTTGTATCCTGGAGGTGGGACCATCAGCCGGTGTCCTCGAGCTCCTTGCGGGCGCCAACTGCCACACAGAAAACAAGTCTCAAAGTTTGCCGCGGGGGGCCTCGAGAGCCTGGGGGCTTGGCTCCAGCGCCACCGGCGCCACCACCCAAGGCCACTCCCACCCTCTCCTCAGGCAATCTGAGCATCGTCGAATCAAGCTCAGCTTAAGCTCAGCTTAAGCTTGGATGGCGCTCTTATTTCTTGCATCTGTTTTTCTCCAAGCTGCCGCCATGTTCACCTCAGATGATCTCAAACTTTCGCAGTGACAAGCCGCGAGGTGGCATGAAGTCGCAACGTCAGTCTAGAATCCAGGCATGGGGCTCAAGTTTGGCGCCGCCAACAGGATAGAAAAGAGCCCACTGGCAGCCAGCACGTGTTGCTACTACAGACATCCCAGACTCTAGAAATTGAGCCAAAACAGCGAAGTCAGAAACACCCGATAATTTGGCATCATCAAAGCTCAACCCTGCTGGCCACAGCCGCATGTTCGGCCTCTGGCATACAACACACGCGAGGTGCTCTTCTTTTTTGTCGTGCGTTTGTCGGGCCCCAGACTTCAAGGACCTTCGAGGAATGGTGCCGGCGTCGCTGGGGCTAAGAGGCTGCATGGGAATATTCAAGTCGAAGCTTTCTGCCCTTCAGCATCGTTTCGCTGAACTTCATCGCCTTCTCAACTGCTGCTTCATCAGCAAAATCAATGAAAGCCTTGCCCTTGGAGTATCCGCTCTTGTCTGTGAGCACTCTGACACGCGTCGGGCCTGAGCCACACTCAGAGAAGAGTTGCTTCAAATCCTCCTCGGTGACTTCGTAAGAGATGCCGCGTGCCACTAGTCCAAGGGATCCCTCTGGCCTGCTGGGGAGCGCAAGAACACTGGCAGGTTGCTTAGGTCCTTTGCCGCTTTTGCCCCTGCCCCTTCCCTTCACACTCTCAGACTTGCCTTGCAAGTGGCCCGGTGCTTGTGCAGCAGGCGCGTCTGCCCAAGCTCCACCGCCAGCCCAGCCTTTGCTGAGGCCCTTAGGCTTAGGCTTGCCATCCTCGGCCTCTTTGTTTTTGTCCACTGCCAAGTTGACCCTGATGACATTCCCACCTACATTGGTCCCATCGCACTCCAGAGCTGCTTTAACTGATTTCTTGTCAGAGAATGTGATGAAGGCAACTCCACGTGACTCGCCCCACTTGTCATACAACAACCAAACGTGCGCCACGCCACCTTTCCTGCGGAAATGTCGCTCGATTTTGGCTTTGTCAAACCACCATGGAAGGTTGGCTGCGCAGATTTTGAGACATTGCGCAGCATCATCTGCGTGACTCTCCGCGTCTTGCGTTTTCAGGTCCGCTGTCTTCGCGGTCTTCGCGGTCTCACCATCCTCGCAGGCAGGTTTCGCAGACAGGTCCTTCTGCTTTTTCTTCTTGGGCTTGTTGGCGCTGGCATGCGAGGCACCGTGAGCATCAGGCTCTTCACCTTGTGTCTGACTTGGGGCGTCGCCGGCTGTGGCAGCTGTTGCCTGTGCAGGATCCAAGCTTGGTTGCACCTCTCTGCTCGGAGGAGGAGAGGAGTCCTCGAGGCAATCCACAGACACAGCTACCGTTGCAGGCTTTTCAGGATGCGCTCTTCGCTTTGCCCTTTGCTTGCCTTGCGAGCGGCCTTTGACTTTTCGCACGCTTTTCCTCAAACTGCTTGCTGTTAGTGTCTGCTTCCTCTTGCAAACAGCACTTTTGGACCCAGTACGGAGGGTATTTCTGGCGCGCTTTCTCGCAGGAAGCCTCACAGCCAAGCTGGAATTCCATTTCTGATTCGGGTCCGAGACCGTCACCTGACTGATGGCATTACCAGCTTCATCTAACTCTGTCGCCTTGGCAAGCGGAGCTTTGTTCCTCCTTCGCTTTCCAGGAGCGACTACTTTCTTCCTCTTGCGAACAACTTTGGAGCTAGCGGCCTTCATGGCTCATGAGGCACGAGACATCAAAAGAAATGTGCTGTGAAGGTTTAGCTCAAGCTGCTCCAGTCGCTACAGTGCACGCTAACTGGGGTAAGCTTGCAGAGCAACTGAGCACGCGGGCTCACTGAAGATGCCATCTGGGATGAGGGGATACTATCTGATTGGTTGCTTTACTGCCGGATCAAGAACCCTAGCAGCCAAACTACAAGCAATGCAATGTGTTGTTGTCTGTCTCACGACTGAAGGTCTTATCCTAGCCCTCAACCTCGCCACGGGATGACAGGCATTCTCGGTGCCCTCCAAACATGAGCTGTTGACGTCGTAAGTGGTCCAAAACTTGTTCGTTGTAAGTTCTTTGTGCATTTTTATCAAGCGGTCAGCGAAAATGCCTGAGCTGATGCACAATCAGATCTGAATCTTCTGCAACTTAGACATTCAGCATTCGCATTGCCTGGACTTCCCGTTTGCAAGCACTGGAGCATTCAGCCGATGCAATAACCTTCGAATTTCGTTACATGCGAGGCCTTGAGAATAGGGCGAGGTGGTGCTTTTGCCATCGTGAGGGACAAGGCTACAGTTCCCAAAGCCTCAGTCTCTGCAATAGTGGTGAGACTTCCGATTCATTGCGAGGGTTTGAGATGTCGCCGAAACGCGGGGCCATAATTCTGGGCCTTCGACAATGCGCAGGTTGCAAGTGTCAAGGTGAACAGCGACCTGGCTGGGTCCGCTGCAGTCTGTTCACGGCCGTCTCTCAAAGGTGTACAAAGGGTCTTCGGCAAGCGTCAGGCTGCCCCGAGTTGCCAGAGTTTCGGCTGCCTGTCAGCATCAAAACACGCGAAGCCCCCAAAAACACATCTGGATGTCCTTAACCAGAGAAAGAGGCACTGCAGAGAATCTGCCTGACGTGCCATGGCCAAAGACCCGCGTGCATGGCCTATTGGCGCTTCCACATAGTCCCCGTCGGTGGGCGACGCATTTGCTGCAAAAGCCTCCGCAGCCTCAGTTGAAGCCAAGTGCTCATCTAAAAAGGATGGAAGGGGAGATGCCAAAGCGGCTTGTTTAAATTTGCTGCAGGCTCCTTGACCTTGTGGCAAAATGTTTTTAAGAGTGCTTTTTTGAGCAGATCATGCAAGAAGCTTGATGGGCCATAGCTAAACCTGATCGCCCCACAGCTTCCATGGCAACAGGTTCCGCCCTGGCCATGGCCTGACTTGCAACCGCCTCGTCTGCCATGGCAGCCGCCAAGCGGTTTCCTCGTTGCGTCGCTTGCAGGATTTCATCAATCCGCTGCCCAAGGCGCTGATCTGTGAGCCAGAGCTGTTCATCGAGCGCAGCTATTGCATTCTGCTCTTCTTTGAACAAGGATCGGGCTTCTCGCACTTCCCCCGTCAGCTTGCGCTGGCTTGCAAGCAGCTCTTCGCGGAGACGCTCTCTCCACTCTGTCACTTCTGAGCTAAGCTTTTGGCTCAAGCCATTCAGTTCACTCTGCAGAACATCAACGCTCTGCTTGGTCTCGGTCGTGGCATCACGCATTCTATACTCGAACATTTCGCGGGTAGCACGGGCAGACGTTTGCTCAACTTCCATTTGGTCAAGCCGACTTCCCATGTCTGCCAGCTTTCTCGACAATTCCGAACTGCTGGAAGCTCCTTCATCTCGTAAGGCAACTGCAGATGCACGAACTTCACCAGATACTTCTTCTAGGAGTGATGCCTGTTTATCCTCAACGCGCTTCACAAGCGTAGAGAGCTTTTTGATCTCGAGTCGAGCTGACTCCACATCTTCAGCAGCAGCAACTTGAAGCGCATCGAAGCGACGAGATAAGCCCTGGTGGGCCTCTTGTAGACGGGCATCCAAATTTTCTACCCGTGTGCCCATGGCTGCAGACATCTCTGAACGCAGGTGCTCGCAGGATGATTCCACGTCATCCAGCCGCCTTGACAGCGTGTGCTGCATGTCTCGGACACGACTCTCCAGCTCTGGCTTGGCCAGGGTTGCCATTTCAACCTTAAGCCGTTCGATCTGGGACTCGAGGTCAATCCGGGCCGAGGCCATCTGTGCGAGTTCTCGATGTAATGAGTCCAGTTTCAGTTTATCTGCCTCGTTTATTGCAGATGACGCTGACACTTCCTCAAGTACCTCGACTTTAACCTCGCTCTTCCAGCTGGAAAGCTTCCTGTCAAGACTCTGGACAAGTCGTGCAAGCTCAGCCAGCTCATGGCGTGTCGCATCCACTGATGCAGCTGTCGCCGCAATGTCATCTCCACTTTGGCGCTGCCGGGAGATAGCATCGGCTGACTGCTTCTGCAGCTCTGACCATGCGGCGCGCAGGCGCGCAAAGTCCTCTGCCACAGATCTGCGAATGTCGTCGATGGCAAGGCCATGCTCCCTAAGTCGGTTGGCGACAACATCTCCATCTTGTTCAACAGTCAATCTCAGCTCGTTAACTGTCGAGACAACCCGCTCTACAGTCGCCAAGGCTTCAGCCTTGGCCTGGCTGCTGGAAGAAAACTGGCGGTCTGTATCCCCGGATAGGTTTTCCACAATTGCCAAAAGCCTGGATTGGCCTTCTGCAAGACCACGGACTTGGCTCTCAAGCTTTCGCCGTGCCTCATCCGCTTGCTGGATGCCTCGGCTGGCATTCTGTGAAGCCAGATGGGTCTCCTGTCGCGCCTGCTCAAGAAACTGCCCAATCTCCCCGTCCTGTAGCAGCCTCATGGCTTGATCCACCCGGTTATCCACCAGACACTCTACCCAAGATCGCAAAGCTGGCGATATGTAGCTTGTGTCTCCATAGTACCCTGCCCTTCCAGGAGAAACGACTGAAGCTGTCACTGTGGCAGGCAGAGGTGCAGTAACACGTGTGGCCGGCTGCGTGAGAGTGGCATGCGTGGCCACATAGCTGCTTGGGGAGTCCGACCGTGACGACGCCGGCACGAGCGGAACTGTAGTCGTCGGCTCGACGTAGGTCCGCACCCTTTCTGGGGCGGCCATCCCATGCGCTTGTTGGCGCCCTTGCTTGAACCACAAGGCTACAGGGCAAGTGGTTTTGCAGCACTTAAACTTAAACGTAGCCTAGGAAAAGGAACAAACAACTGCATCCCGGCCATTGTGCGGATGCTTCCACAAACATCGTGTTGTTTTGACCGGGGCAGTGTCCCTGTACGACACTGTGCACAATTCACCCCTATCTCGGTGCATAAGCTGCATTCACTGTTTGTGTCACGTGTGCACGGAATCCGGGAAGCAAGAAGCTCATGCAACACCACTTCCTTTCATTTTGGCCAGCCGATGGCGACAGGATCAACTGCCTAGGCTTGCGCCAGCACATCTGGGTTCAAGCGATCCGACTGGCCGACTTGGAAAGACCGAGGTAAGCTTTGGATGACCGCTGAAGTCCATGAAGCGAATCTGCACGAGCCCACATGTCTCAAATGCCATTCCGTTTGACTTTTCGAAAAGGCTCCTCCATCAGATCCTAGAACTTCACCTTCAACTTGTCCACCCTCACATTGAGTATGTCCCCGGCTTCTGGTAGCAGTCGGCTCACTACAGCTCTTGCTTGGCATCCTCGACACGAAGCAGGGAGGACTACCCTTTTGCGAAAGCCAATGCCAGGCACTAGTGGTCTCTGTGTAGGGACGTGCTCAACAGAAAATGCCATCACAATGACTTGAAAACAGGGCACAAGGGGACAGAACGAAGACGACAAAGCATCAGCGAAAAGGAACACGAAACGATGAAGAAGAAGAAGAAGAAAACAAACAAGCCGAGGAGTAGGAGCGCAAGCATCAGACTCGAGCCTAGCACTTGCTTCCATGCAGCCTGCACGTTGTGTGCTGGTAGCTTGGCCATGTCTGTGGACTTGCTCTGGAACAGAAAGACTCAGAAAAACAACGCCGTAGCGAAAAGGCTCGCAACACTAGCCCAAAACCCAAACCACATGGTTCTGGTTCTTGAGTGACCCCTTCTTTTTGTGAGGTTTTTGGTAAAGTTTGGAGTCTTCGTTTTTGTGTAACCCTTCGTTTCAGATTTTTCGGATTAGATTGCCCGAAGATTGGCTGACGTGCACATGTCGCTCAGTTCAACAGAAACTGGTTTACGATGACAATGAGCTCTTCGCATTGCAGCGAGCGTCCTCAGTGGAGTCGTAGGCACATGGATGGCCACCCACATCATTGCACACCTTCAAATCTGGACATGCTTCTGAAAGCTGCGATGAGAAGGTCAGAGAAAGTCTAGCATGAGGTTGAGAAGAGCAGATGGACTCGTTTTAAACACCGCCTGCATCGCCGTTCTTGAAGCTGCTGTACAACGAGAGCCCGCCTGTACATCAAGACAGGCAACCACCACACAGGAGCACACCAGCCAAGCGCACACAAGCCAAGTTTAACTTGCGAATCGCGGCATTCGCGGCATAGGGCCTGGCATGCCCCCATTTCCCGAAACAACAACTCGGAGAAGCGCTCTGGCTCCACGATATCCTGGCCATCTCCATTCGTTCATTGACTGTAAGACTGGTGTAAGACTGCGTTTGCACAAAGGACAAACAATGAGTGATGTCCTTGCACGTTAAGGTCAGCATGGTATCCTCGGCTTTACTTGCCATGCTTGCTAGCTTCGTCGCTGCAGCAACTGAGTCTGCATCCTGTTCAGCATCGTCAGGATCCGGAGGCTGCTGTTTGCCTTCGTTGGCCAAGCTCCGCCACTTGTCACGCTTTTGTCTTGACTTCTTCGGCATCGCCTTGAGGACGTAGCGGTTCAATTTCTTGTCTAGTTTTGGTCGCCAGCGGTCAGTCCACTTGGCAGGCAAAGGTGGAGGCTCCACACCGAAGTAATTCGGGATGGATAAGTCAGGGCCACCTTCACAGATTTTCTCCATAATCGTCAGAAGGTCATGTTCACTTCGAAGGCTTTTAGGCTTGGGCAACACCTCGGACACTGTCTCCTCCAGCACTTTCCTGCAAACATCGCAACGAAGATCTCCTCTGGCAGTTTGGACGCGACCTTTCGTAGCCTCATCCATGTAGTGAAGGGGATCGTCGCGAGCCATCTCAAGTAAGCGTTGTATTCCAAATTTTGAATCATCTGGCAATGAACTCATGGGATCATCTTTCTTGCGCTTCTCCTCAGCTGCCTCTTCATTCTGAGCCATCTTGGTACCTCAGGCAAACGCTTGCAACTGGTAATTAAAATCGCTGGCGCCCCTCTTGCTTCCAAGCATCGCTGTGCCAGGCGCTCTTTCTCGGCCTTCTCTTGCTTCTTCTTCCCCTGTGCAACAATTGCTCTTCTGCCCTTCCCCTGGTTATCAGGATTACAGGTGCCAGCGTCAAAGAAGCAAAGTTTTAAGGGTGACTATGAACGGTGCGGCAAAGCCTTCGCGCCCTTGCCGCAAAGCTTCACAGATCGAACACAGAACTCTTGAGCAGCACCTGCTGGTGACTGTACGCGCTCCTCAAATGGATTTTTGTGCAGAATCATTCCGGCTGGTGGCATCGTGGCTTGGGTCCTTGACAGACTTGTAGACGTAACCGGATGTGTCACTGCCATAGTCCTCTAGCCACTGCTGGCACCCCATCTTGAAGACCAGCATGGATCTCATGAAGTTATCTTGCTTTCCCTGGGCGGCCGCTGCCGCCATCCTAATCAACAGGGGAAGTACACAGCAAAAGTCATGGTTTAAAAAGCATGTCTGAGGCCCCAAACGCAGTCTCGTCATCTTCATCTTGTTTAGCATCCAGTGAAGGCTCGCCATCCAGGTTGAGTCGATACTTCCTTGGATGTCACCACCGAATACCGCGCACAGCATCGTTGAGATTACTGCCGCTTTCGAAAGTGCCCAGGTTGCAGGCTGCATACTTGGACTTCTACACAAAGACTTGTGCTTCTGACTTCATGCCCCATTCTCATGTTTTGCATGCTGCGCTCGCTCACTCCAACGAAACTTTGACCTGCGATGTCGAAAGATAGCATGGCTTTGGGTCGGAACAAACCGCAACATCGTGCTTCGTCCCACTCCATAGTGAGAAAACGGGGCATTTCAGTGGCACCCCAGATGTGTGATTTACGAATACCCAAAATACCCTACAACAACAGCTGGCTGGCACATCTAAGGCAAGGAATAACTTCTGACAGCTTCAGGGGCTCAACAAATCTCCAAAGGCAGCGACCAGCTTGGCGAAGGTCAGCGGAGAGTTTGGCGAGGGCGAAAAACATCAGATCATTCTGTTGGGCAAATTTATGTGGTCAACTGAGAGCGCTGCAGCTGAGATTCTGTAACAAGGCCAGGCACATCGCATTGGAAGTCTCCCATATCTGTTCCTCAGAGCCTGCTCCTGGTCCGCCAACTCACACCGCCCAACATGCCAACATGCGAGTAGAAGGGCAAGGGACAACGGCGCCTTGTTCAGTCATTGAATGGCGCGACACTTCCATGTGCATCTCACCTTGGACTTTGGGAGCCTCTTCTTTGAGTTTAAAGCCGGCACCAGCAACATTGTAGGCTCCCGGCTTATAACAGCCTTGCACATGCTGCACTCGAGCTTCTTCAAGGCGAGCTTCTCCTCTGGTGGTGAGATGAACGGCATGCAGAAATGTTCCATCCCATTGACCAGCCTAGCCAAATTGTCACAGCCATTGTGTTTGTTGACTAGGCAAGCAGCTGAGACGCGCACCTGCTTGGTAAGGCGCACCTGGACACCCACTTTGTCTGGTATTGGGTCATCCGCAGAGCAATGCCAACCTTGCTCCAGTGACAACTGCTTGCAAGATCGATTTGGCGGGCCGGCCTGCCAAGCCTGCCAGTAGGAATATGAGCCCAAGCCCTTGGAACCAAAAAGACCTCCACACAGCAGGCACTTGTTGGACTCTGAAGCGACACAGTTGGAGCACCTCATCTTCCTCATCTTGCAAACGTAGCCGTGACCATTGCTGCGTCGAACATGTTCTGCTGCCGCTGGGCTGCTTGAATGCTGAACGATGCTGCATGCATGTCTCTCAGAAAAACCTGTCACACCTTGCATCTTGAGCGCGTTGCACAAGGATTCCATGCAGTTCCAACTCGAAAGCGCACAACTTCGAGTGGCAGTAATTTGTGCGCCACTATTTGACTGCAAACGGCATTGCACAGCATTTCCTGACTGCGGAGATCATGTCACTGTCGAATCAATGTTCATGTCTTGCATTGGAAGATACCCGGCTTTGCTGTAAACTCTCTTTCCGCCATCCGCAGAAGTCTCACAAATGCGCATACCGGTCGTAGTAAGGTTCCCAGATTGCCTTGTTGTAGCCGTTGCTCTTCCAGGGCTTCCGCATACCATTCCAATGTAAGATATGCATTTCTGCCAAATCTTTTTTGGACTTCTTCTCATCCAAGCCCAAGCCCAAGGCGTTCCATTCCTTTTCAAAGAGTATGTAGTCATTGGCTTCATCATGTGCGTGCAGCTGGAAAGCCAGTGTTAAAGGAGGCTGCGAACCTCCTTTCCAAAGCCCACCTGGGATCGAAAGACATGCGCCCCGGCTAGCTGAACAGCCATGACTATGACTGGGATGTGAGTTTGCATCCAGTAGACGACAAGCACTTCGTAAGACCAACTTGAGGCAAGTATCCTGGACAGTCATTTTGCAGTCGAACTAGTTTTTCGACACGGCTGGCAGCATTTGTGGCTGCCCAACGCCGCAAATTCACTGCAAAGACACCTAGCCAAGGAGTAAGTAAGAACACACAAATCGCAGGGAGAAACAGCAGCAGAACCCACGGTGCAAAGCCTGTGTTGTACGCCGGGAGGTTCTTGAGCTTGCTCCAGGGCACATCTAACATCTGTGTGCACTTGCCGGTGAGGAAGTCTGGATACATCTTGGTGCTTCGGTACACAAAACCGATTGTCTTGCCAGATTTTTGTAATCGTGCTTGGAGCTCCCCCACATCTTTCTGTACAATAGTGTCGGCATCCAGCCATATTGCCACATCAATTTGTGGCAGTATCCTGTCCTTGAGGAAGAGAGCATATGGCAGGATCAAAGATTCGCGCTACACAAAGCACACTTCTTATCTATCTTATCCATCCAAAGTCCATGTAGATCCGGGCATAAACTTCTGGGTCATCCAACTCGCCACGCTCCTGAGAAAGCAAATGCGCATTTGCGCGGATGGCAATCCCAAGCTCAAAGCTGACAGAAAGCTCCTGACGGATCGTACTGGATACTTTGCCCCGGTCAGCCTCGAGTATCCGCAGTGGGATTTCATGAAGCTTGATGACCTCAGCTCTCCGAAAATCATGCTAACAAGCGTCGTCTGAACAGGGACCCCCAAGTGTGAAGTCCAGTAACTGTACCTGCAGATGTTGTCCTGTGAGTTGATTTGATATCCAACTCATGCCGCAGTCGCTCCAGGTGTTTGCTCTGAGCCATAACGTGGATGAACAGCTCGTGAGGCTTTGCAGCGGACATAATACAGGAGGCGATTGAAGCTTTCAGGCCCTGAACAACGTCATCGTCTGCAGAATAGATAACATGGACCTGCTAGCAGGAATTCAGAGAGCACCAAAACCTTTGGCAAGACTACCCTGGCACACTCCAACCCGAAGCCACAAAGTGGGCCTTGCCATCTGACTCCTGTCCAACATCGTTTTGAACAAGCGCCCGTCGTACAATGCTGCCACCAGTCCCTGCGTGGTGTGGATGTGGGCAGCATGCAGGCCAAAGTTGCAACAGCACAAACGCTGATGAGACACCTCTAGCTTGCAGCCCGTCGCTGTTGCGCACAAACTCTGCAGATGAAAGGCCGCGAGCATCAACTGCCAGCCTTCCAAACTTTGATTCCAGCGTTCGCCGCTGCTGCACATGCACGCAGCACCTCCCAGGAATAGCACCTGCGACCACTGCCAAGAGGACCAGGGCGCCTATGGCGCCTTGGCATTGGCCCCGAGAAACCTCTTTTGCCAATTACTGCAATTACTTGATTTTGCCGAGGGCCCGGCAGATGACGTGTTGGTGCGTCATTCCATCCAGGACAGAGGCTGGATGTACAGAGACATCCCCACATGGATTTTCAGACAACAGTGATGCGTAACACCTGCGGCACAAAGCACTGAACTTGAACTTGAACTCGACGTGAAATGCGAAGCAGGACTGCTTACTCACCGCCCCAATCCAATGAGTGACTTTTTCGGAGTTTTGGACATTGTCCACGCCAGCCTCTGCTTTCTAAAACGAAAAGCTGTCGCAGCGAATTCAATCCTAACTCTACTGCACCAGGGCTTTGTACATCTTCCCCTGAAAAAACCCGCTCCGGTTTGTCCAGTCGACACTGCGGATTGTTATCCACTTTGCGGATGCAGACTCCGTGTTGGAATCCACCTAGCTTGCCGAGGCGGAAGCGGGGCCAACTGCCCAAGAAGGCAACCAATTGCAGCTTTGCTTTGCAAGCCATGAGTGGCAAGGGCTGCACGTTTCTCCGCGCTGTGATTGAATTAAATTAAGACCGCCGGATGCTCTCCGCCGACAGCAGCTGCAAAACGATCACGGTTACCAAAGCAGATTGCTTTCACACAAAGGAGTGTGACATATGCTCAAACCATGCTACGTCCGCGAAGCATCCCCGCCTGTACAGCTTCGGATAAGCTTGGTTGAAGGATAGCATGCAAACATTGAAAGGCTCAGATGCTGCCGCTAATTTCCATCGTCGGACCTTGCTCCCGCCATCTCCCGCCAGAGCTCAGGAACCTTGAGCACAAAATTGACTCAAAGCTCCCCACACAGCTCACGCCAGCCTGGGCTTTGATCTGTCAGCGGTTGTATCAGCGACGGATCCTTCGGCTTGTCGAACATGATTCCAAGAGTGAGCCTTTGCTCGGTCAAGAGGCCGACACAAGTGAAATTAGTTGAAATTCTGCCTGCTCCAAAGACGAATGCCCGTCTCAATCGGAGCTGAGGGCATTGTGCCGGGGGCAGAAACAATCATAGCCTTTTTGAATGAAGTCTTTGCAGCCACGGCTCATAGCTTGCTTTTTTGTCCTTTTTCGCTTGTCACCTGGCCACAGCCCAGCTCGGTCAATATTTTCACTGCATCTACGAGAATCTTCAGCCACGGCACCTCCCATGCCGAGGGGGATCATGCCATCAAAGCCACTGCAGAACTGCTCCACTTGCACCACTCCGGTCGCCAAAAGGGTGTCGGCAGTGTACCTGTCCTGAAGGTGATTCGGTGATCACGTGTAGGTGCCGCAGGGCAGCTTAAACAATCAATACGAATCTCGACTGTTGGCACGACTTCTACGCAAGCTAGTTTCGCACGATAAGAAATCAAATCAAATGTTCCAGATATGCACCCTGCTCTGTAACTAAAACAGTCAGCTGGAGCAGACACTGGTGTACCTGTGGCCCACTCAAGCCGTTTTCACTCAGACCGTCTAAATATCTGAAAGCCATTTTCACATGCTAGGCTTGCTTGTGATGAGCTGCATAATCCCACACGGAGACTTCCAGCGCAACCTCGCCATTGTAGGTCACCTTGCCTCCAGGAAAGACTGAGCTGAGAGAGCTGACAGGTCAAGTAGATTAGATGCGTGACACTCGAGAGTCTCACATGCATGCTGTTGCGGGAACGAGACCTCAAGAAACATTAAGAAGGAACAAGGCCATGTAATCTAGCAATCTAACTGTCGCAGCTTTGCTGCCCGATAAAAAATGAAATGTCTTAGAAACAGGACTGGCTGTTTCCAGCCTTCGCAATCCCAGATGGGATCACCTCCAGCATCAGCCAGAACACTGGTCCTGACTTCCTGCACTGTTTTCTTGGCTCTGTGTATTGCACGGACTTCATACCACGTGGACAGACATAAATTATACAGATGCCCTGTCCTCTCGGCTGCCACGGAAGCGAACGATTGCGTAGGGGTCAAGCTTGTCAAACCAACCACCGCCAGACAGGTTGGCGGCGTTGCGGATGGTGATAGTGGCCTAGAAGGCATTGCCAGATAGACTGGGGCTGGAAACCAAGCTGCACCCGAGGGCTGCACCTTGACTCCTTTGTAGGCCACACGGAATTTGTTGGGATCCACTGCTTCTTCGGGTGCGCCCTTTGCACCCAGTATACCTGCTACAGGCAACCACAGCTCAGGCTGGTTACAAGTCAAAGGCGGGCTACTGGTCTGTCAGAGCGTGCTGATAGATACCCGGCCGGTCGAAGAAATGTATAACAATGCCACTTTTGGTTGCTCCAATGCCCTAACCAACATGTCAAACGCAGCACAGGTGTCTTCTGCGCCTTTTCGCAAAAGCTCATTCTGCTCTTCATTAAGCCACCTTTGCATTAGGTCCTTGACGTGCTCCCTGATTATCGTTTGCTTCTCCTGGCAGTTCGGACGCTCAGTTAAAGTCTACAATATGCCAGAAATGGCACATAAAGGAAAGAGGAGGGCAATGCTGACTTTAACCCAGCAGCAAGAGCTTGTGCGCGGCAAGCTTGGACAAATGCCTTTTCGCGCTGGCTCTTCTTGATGAACTCCAGAAATCTGCACCCATCAAATCAGCAGGCGCGCTCAGGTGGCATGCTGCCCAACACGATACAGCTCGTCTGCTGCGTAATCCATTCCAAGAACTTGCGAAGATTAACTAACACAGTTCCCGCAACAGTTTGCGGCATTTTGCTTCTGTCTATCTAATGCGAAAGAAATTCAGCATCATTTGGCCTGCTGGTTGTTGGCCAAGGTGTAAATAGAGCAAGTTTCTTCAACCAATGCGACGCGCCGACATGCTCTCTTCTCAGCACGTTTCACTGGTTGTGCCTTTGATTGGCGATTTTCATGACCACGATGCGGTCCATCACACCTACCAAAGTGGTCAAAGCTGCCGAAACAAACATGAAAGTGTAGAGGCCATTCATCTGTTTTCAAGTGCTCTTCTTGCCTTTTTGTTCTGCTGCGCGCATAGAGAAATTCTCCAGCTGCAAGCGGTACGGCCTAGGCAGCGCGGACCACAGCAATCGGCGACCGCCTGCCAACCCGAACCCGGCCAGTGGCTACCAGCTACCAAGCTGCAGGGATGAAGTTGCACCCTCGAGCGCTTTGGTGAACACAGTGCCAAGCCTCGACTCACCCAGTTCAAAACTGCCTTATGTCCGTGCAATCTTTGGCTAGCAGCATGAGGCGCTCGTGGCCCCAAATATGATTCTTCTGCAGATTGAAGAGGGCCTCCCACATGGCAGGGGTGTTGTTGATTCTCCGTGGGCCGAGTTGGTGTGCCTGATCAGCCCACGTCTTTTGCTTTGGTGCGATCAATGGGTTGAAAATCTCATAGTCCCACTTCACCTGATTTCCGTAGCTGCTCGCTTCAATCCAGGTATGACAGAACCCAGGTTTGCAGGCGAATGACTGCAAGATAAACCTTGCCGGCAGGCTCCGTCCTTGGCTCAAGATGCCCTCTCATGCATACAATACCAACTTCCAAAGCAGCCCCAGTGCACCGAGCAACAGGTCTGTGTCCTCCTTCATCATCATTCCCACTGCCGATCTGGGTCTTCGAAGCTCAACCTTGCCATGCCATCCGTCAGCCCTTAGATGGTGCTCCCTCACAGGGCCTTTGATCGGGTCTGGCCCATGGGTTCGAGAGCAAGAACCTGGAAAAGAGTTGCTGCTTTCTTGTCAGTGGCTGGCACAACACCAGGCAAATGGTGGCCTAGCAAGCTAGCTGCCACCTGGACACAAATCATCGACCATAAGCGTGCAACTGCCGCAAAGGTCATCTGATGTAAACTTGTCATAATCCATGACCTGAGGGGTTTTGGAACGACAGGAGCCATCCGGTAGGATCAGTGCACACATCCCTGAAACAACGTCAAGCTGCTGTTATGGTAAGCTCCTCCTCGCCATTGAAAGTCAACACACCCTCGTAATTGAACACAGGGTTCACCTGAGTGCATGCTCATTTCTGTATGGCTCTCTCGGCAAGTGCTAGACTCTACCAAAAGCTAAGATTAAGCCAAGCACGCCGACATTCCATTGGACCTCCGGGGTTGTTAGAAATGGGCAAATTTCTCACTTCACCCTTCGTCTTTAACTGCTGCTGCCAGCCGGCTGGGGTCTGAAAGCGCTTGTACTCGCCCAGCTTGACAATACAGTAGGGATCCAGTTTGTCGAAGATAGACTCTCCTGGATGCACCCCATTCATGCAAGACAGTCTCGCAAAGAGGAGCAGGGCAGGCAGTGCAGGCAGGGCAGGCCTGCAAGTTTCTCTGCCTTTTCAAGGAAAACATGGATTCGTGTCCGCTTGGGTGGTCTTGACTCGGGCCGTTCAGTCAAAGTAACCTCCGCGGGATTCATGCCATCACAGATACAGCAAAAACAAAGTAAAAACGGACATACACAGCTGGTACTGAGACAGAAGCATCTGCCCTTACTTCCACACCTTGGTGGCTTTGGCAGCAAGGGCATCCCTGAACTTGATGTGATCTCATTTGCCGTGCTTGAGGTGGGGGCTGCCTTCCTCAACATAAAAAACCTCAGCAGGGCCATGTCGGCGTTTCGCGTCCGAAGTCTGAGAATTGTGAAAGAAAAAACATGGAAACCGAGCTCGAGCTGCGCAATGGAATTACTACACACTCTATCCACTTCACCCTGGGAACACTCTCATCAAGCGAGTCGGTGGTCAGGATCTCATCGCCCGGCTTCGGATGCAGTACCGCAACAAGCTTCGACATGTCATCTAACCTCAAGCGCGTATGCACTTGTTGCGGCTTGGTGGCAGCAAAGCCAAATGCATACAGCATCAAAATAGCCGGAGAGCGCAGTCTTCACGGCATTCGAACATGTTTCAAAGAGCTCTGCCCTAGCAGCGCCTGTCCTCAGTCTAGCTTCTGTCAGGTGATTCCAGAAAGTTCCAGTTGATGATATCATGATCATTGGTGTGGATGCTATCAGCAAGGAGCATCGTGTCTGGATCCACCCTCGGCTTGGTAGGATCTGGCTCTGGCCTGTCACCACACCGCTTTCACGCTCACCGCTTTCAACCCCACCGGTGGAACAAGAAAACATTCAAGCTTCATGAAATGTCACCTTAAGCCTCCAAACCTCCAGATGCAAACAGGCCACAACACAGCCCTTGAAAGGGCTGGTGAATGTCGGATTTTTTGGGCGATGCGGCGATTTCCAAACACTCTGTCTGCAAAGCACGCCTGTGCATACAGGCTAGAATTTAAGAAATGCCACTGATGATGCGGACCATTGGCCTCCAACACTTCCCCTGTCACGATGCCAACCATGCAAGGTTCTTGACAGTGCGCAGCACCACCCACCGCGTCATTGATCTCCTCATCACCCAGCCTGTGAAAAAAAAAAAGGGCTGTCGCGCTGCACGGCTAGGACTGCACACTCCTTGCCTGAACGGCTGCTCACCAAACAAGCTGCCAGGTCCAATCTCTATGTAGTCACCGAAACCGTTGGGGTCACGGTAAAGGAAGATTTTACCTGAAACCAAATCAGGGCGAGGTCACAAAGTTGAAAGATCAAACGCCCGACTGCCTCATCCAGATCTTAACTCAAATGGCCCAATAGCCAGGCCGTTTGAGAACGTGTCGAGGAAACAATCTGGCTATACCCTGTGGGAATGTTTTGCAACTGAGCGCCTGTGAGCAGAAGGAAAGATCTCTGCGAGTCAACTGGGGGCCACTCGGCTTTCAGGTTCTCGCTGCCGTAAAGCCAGCGTCCCACAGACAACCTCCGGAGGCTCACAGGATGAACAGCAAGTGCTCCACATTTCTCGACGTGCCTCAGGAAAGCCATGGCTCGGAGGAACCTTGCACAAGCCACCGTGCGCACTGACTCTGCTTGGATTGTGAGGTCTTGCCGTGTAGCCTATCTAGCTGATGGTCATCGAGTCGTTGGAAAAGAAGCGGGTGGGAACTCCGGATTTCCTTCCCGACCACCTCAGCTGCTAGAGTCGAAATGCAACACAAAGTTGCAGGTGTGAAGCGTGCAGCGTTTGGACTTGACTGCCTTCTCAAGGGCCCTCATGTCTGACAAAAGCTTCTGCGGAACGCGCCGCCCGCCTAAGCTCTCTCCTAAAGCTGGGCATGTCGTAACAGACCAACAAAACCTCAGATTGAGGTGCTGACGCTTTTCTGTCGTCAATGCTAGTTGGCGACACCTGGTCGGGGCGCAAAAGTAATCCAAAGCACGTGCTGCCGGCCAGAGACGCAAGTTCGTACATAAATCAATCGCAAATCCCTGGAAAATCAGGCCTGTAATAAAGTGGCATCACACGGTTCAGGCTGTTTGGGTTGGCCTGCACAGTTCAGCATATGCCGTTGACCGTGTTGCAGAGAGAGGCATGTGGACACAACAGCCTCTTTCGTCACTTGGAAGGCCTGGACAGTGCCAGCATATGCAAGGCTCAACGGCTGCGAATGTCAGCATGGCTGCCCTGGTCGTTTCGTCATGTTTCGTCGATGATAGCACATGCTTTTGCGGCGCGCCTTGCGATTCATGGCAGGCCTGCCGACCCAAGTGTTGGTCGATGCTGACATTGCGCCTGAAGGTTTGCCAGCTACAGTACTGACGTCCAATGCCACGCCCTTCGGAGAAAAGCCGTTTAAGGGGACGTCCTTGATGCGATGCACCAGCGAAGCCCTCAGAGAGAGACAAGGTGGTGTTGCGTTTCCTCGGTCTCAAAAGCGTGGAGCTTGCTTCTATGGATCATACTTGAAGCCTTCAGCACTCTGCTAAGCATCTGAAGGATATTGAAGGATAATCAATCAACCTTCATCTATGTCAGTTCGAGTCTCTTCTCCGATGCCAAATCCGGCAGACTTATGGCACGGTTGTTCATGGCAGCAACTGATGTTCACTGAACAGAAACCATGTTACAGGCTAGGAGACAGCCCTCAGGCCTTCTTAGCAAAAACACTTCTGACAACTTCTGCACTTCATTACATAATGTGTTCATGGAGCTTCTGCTTCTGAGCCTATCAACTTCAGATGGTTCAACATGGTTCAACTATACCATACCTGCACACAGCAAAGAGCACGCATGCCTGGCAAAGCAGGCCCAATTTTGCGGCAATGGTGGGCATACCCTTAGGGATGATCGTGCCCGTTAACAGGACGAGAAGACAGCGGGCACCAAGCACTCAAAGTCGCTGTCTACAAAAAAGGACTTTGAAACCATGCGCATCTTTCAAATCTTGGACTTGAAGGCTCGTGGTAGCCAATCATCCCATCATTTAACACTCTCCGAACTGTAGCATACCATGGCCAGTGGGCCATCTGGGTGACTGTGGACAACTGGCACGTGCGACCACCAAACGCTTGAATTCAGAAGCCTCTCGGTTCCGAGAGCCTGTCATGTCATGAGCGCCCTTGTGCCTGCTGTCAGGGCCGGTGCTGCATCGGTTTGTCTGAGACTTGGGTCCTGAACTGTACGAGGCATCAGCGCAAATGAAGCGCACTGAAGGTTTTGGCAATGTCCTGAGGGGCATCCCATAGAATGCCGATGGTGATCATGCTCCTGCAGTGGGGGCATGATATCTTGCTGCGCGGAACAGGCCAATTCCAAAGAACAACAATTCGCGTGCTGGGTGCTTGGCTGCTTCAACGCCTTTTTCTTCTTTTTCTTGTCGGATGGCAAGCCTTAACAAATAGCAGGGCTGAAGAGCTTTCAGTACCACCTGTCCCGCCACGCCATAAGTTCATCAAGGAAGCTCAAAGGGACCATGCCCTCGAAACCATTGCAGAACTGCTCAACCTTCCGCGTGTAGAGGTTACTAGCTGACAAGTGCAGCCCTCAAAATGGTGCTCGCACAATGGCCTGAACAACTCCCGTTCCAACGAGATCATCGGAGCTGTAGTGATCCTCAATTCAGGTCGTCCAGCTTGGAACCATGATCAGTCGTCTGCAAAAGCAGAACAGGCAATTACTGAATCGTGACAATTTGTGCTCACATCATCGAAGGCGCATAGTCCCAAACGGATATCTCCAAGGCGACTTCACCATTGTAGGGCAAATAGCCTGTGCCACTTCAAGCATCTTTGGCTTTAGGTTCAGACATCTGTAAACGATCATGGCATTGCCATGCGCTGCCTTCACAGTTCCATATAGGATCCGAACCAGCATCTTGAAGAACACTGGTTCCTTCGAACGACACCCGCGGATTCCCAGCTCTGCCACAATTTGCCAGTTGCTGCAATAAGTCTTGCATACAAGCCGCTGAATTCACTCTTGCTTCCACGGAACCTGGCTGGGAACATTGCAGCCAGTCGGCTAGTAGACACTCAAACTGTGATCCAAACTCCGATGCAAACTCTCAGGCAGGGGCCTGACAATAGCATAGGGATCCAGCTTGTCGAACCAGCCACCGCCACTCAGGTTGAGAGCATTTCTGACAGATATGTGGGCCTTGGCCAGCCATTTGCGATAAGACTCTACCACGTGTTTTGTTTTTTTCGACATCGCGCCTTTGCACCGCGATACGCGACTCGGAAGCGGCTGGGGTCTATAGCTTCTTCCACTTTGCCCATGTCGGACATGCCTCTCTTTGCAGCAGTAAGAACGTGCAACACGGTTTCTTCATGTTACTTCTCTAGTGTTGGCATGCATGGGGGGTCGTAGATGACAACTCAGCACAGCACAGGCCTTTCCGCATAGAATCTGCCTGCTCCTCCGTCTCCCATCTTTCAATGAGGACCTTTATGATCCCCTGGCGGGAGAGGGGCTTCAGCAATGTGACAATTCAAACGCGACCGATGTTGGATATTGTGTGGCAGCCTGTCCTTGATTGTCTGTTGCTTATCCAAAGCAGAGATACGACACGATTGCAAGAATTGCTTCTCGCGCTGGCTTTTCCTTACCTTGGCTAATGACCAGGCACAAGGTGCCGAAGCAGTGTAGGAACCCTGCCAGGTATAGTCACGGCAACCCACACAATGTACATCGTACGCAGGCTCCTGCTGAAGCAGCTCAGCTGAGCGCAAAATCCACGAAGCGCTTCTTTGATGCCTGCACACTTCAAGCAATCAACCTGAACACCAGACCTGGGAGAAACGCATGAGAAAATAGGTGGTGTGCGCGTGGTTCAAAGCCCTTGCAACAGGCCTTCAGCAGGGTGATCTTCTCATTCGTGCCTACACAAGCAAGTGCTTGCCAAATGAGCAAGAACATCCTGTGCTGTTGAGGGGAGGGGTGTGTGTTGTTTCTGAGGTGGGCGTTGGGCCCTCGTCCCCAAATGACGAATAAAGCAAGCCCCGACGCAAGACAAACGCCGAGCCCCAATGAAAAAAGAATTATGAAAGCGTATTGATCACGCAGAGTAAAGCTCAGCTGACCCATACCCCGATTGCCCTTCAGCCGGGTGACCTCTCTGATAGCCACCAATGATTCGAAAATTTGACAAATCCTCAGGATGGTCGAGTCGCGGCACAAAAATACGTGCACGGGAGAGCATCGAGACCAACTCCATGCCTTACGATCCAAGCCAAGCTACCAAGGAGAACGCGGTGGCGTTTGCCGCGCCTTCTAACGTCCTCTTGAAGATAGACCCCAGCCTGGGCTCATTGCCACCCAAAGAGCTGCACGCGCGAGGGTCAGCAGGTGCAGACAAAGCCCACAACATGATGGTTTCATGACCCCAAGCTTCATGACCACCAAGATTGAACAGCACCTGCTACAGAAGCAGAACAGAATCCTAGAAAAAAGGTCACTCGAACTCTCTGCTGGCCTGATTTGGCCAAGTTCGCTCTTTGGCCTGCTTCGTGAGAGCGCTGATCTTCTCATAGTCATAGCGAACCTGTCAACCAACTGCTCGACAATTTTCCATGGCCTTTCTTCAGATTAGAACCAGCCAATGCAAGCCAAAGAGCTCCGAAGTATATCTTTCCAGCAGGCTCCATCCTTGGCTTTCACGAAGCATCGAAAACTTTTACAGAAGCAATAGGCAACAGTTTGTCCTCCCCTTGCAAGATTCCCGCCAAAAGCGTGTGCTGCAGTGCATTCATTTTCCAGGTCTTTGTGTTCCAGCAGGAGTAGGTTACGTCCTAAAATCAAGGGGCAAGCTTTTTGGTGGCCCGCCTACTCGAGTGCCCCGCGTTCGTGTGTTTTGATATACATCAGGTCGACTTACTGCAGACGTGTCCTGCTCAGGCGTTGCTGGGGTGAGCGACGCCATGTGGAGAAACGGGTGTCGCTTTACAGACAAGTTGTGGATGAAGCCTCTGCCTCTCCGCGCTTTAGGCGCCAGCTATAATGCAAAGTTATTTTCTTCATGAGCTTGCGATTCCGAATGCGAGCGCGCTGCCAGGATAATAATGTGCAATTACTGGGAAAGCATGATACCGGGACGAAAAGGTTCGTACGGCCAGTTAAGTAATGTGGGCATGGCACCAAGATAGCAAGGTCCGTGCAACTACCGCGAACATGTTAACCAATACGAGCATGGCACCATGAAAAAAAACGTTAGTGCGACAATACTGCGAACCGTCAACCAATGCGAGCGTGGTACCACAAAAATAGTTAGCGTTTGTGCACTACTGCGGACATGCTAGCTAATGCGAGCATCGTACCAGGACAACAATCTTCAGGCAACTACTGCGAACCTGCTAACTAACGCGGTTGACTAATGCGGGCATAGTACCAGGATGTTATAAAGTTTGTGTAAATAATGTGGGCATTGGGCCAAGATACTAGTATTCGTGCAACTATGTACTGCGAATCTGTTCACTAATTCGAGCATGGTGTCAGGATAGTGACGTTCTTGCAACTACTGCGTGCGTACCAACTAACGCGAGCATGGTACCAGGACAATAACGTTTGCGCAACTACTGCGCACATGTGAACTGTTGTGGGCACGATACCAGGATGACAACATAACATTAGCGCAGCTACTGCGAACATGTTAACTGGTGCGAGCGCGGCACGAGCATAACAACCTGTTCGTGCAACTACTGCGAACATGTTACTGCGAACATGTTAGTTAACTTACGCGAGCATGGTCCTCGCCAAAGTGTTCTTTCCCACCGTTGTTTCCGCCACAACGCAACACACAAAAACATGAAAAAATGTTGACCCGTCTCAGTGATTTTGCTGCTTTACAGTTTACGGTGTTGGCAGCTCAAATGAAAACTCAGAGAAAGAACACATTCCATGTCCCCAACCTACACGTCCTCTTGCTAGTGAAAATACACAGGGCAAGACTAGGCGGGTCACCAAGTTTCTGCGACATTGCGGGGAGCAGGGATCGACGTGCCGAAGCAGAGTAGACCCCGGGCTTCATGAACTGTTCGACGTCCCTCACAAGAAGTCGAGCCACCATCACCCTAGCAGTGGAAGGCAGTCCAGGGTCCTGACGACAGCGGCTGCCGAACCTTCCCCCTGGAACACAATTTTCTGAGTAAGCGTGCTCCCACGTGCTCTCGGGGGATGTTAGCCGAAACAAATTCGCGACAGAGTCGAAAAAGACAGGTTTGATATGGTTTGATAAATTTCCATGGCAAAAACAAAAGCTTAGCGCGCACAAGCTTTTCTTGCGGCGGCTAC